TCCCAGTAACCTCCATAAAATGCAAAGCAAAGCGGTTAAAAAACGACATTGGCCACAAAATGGGGCTGAATCCAAGACCGAGGCACGGGGACGGAGCGGTGACACCCAGCGCCGCGTTCCTTGGGGACATTTGGTGACATCCAACACCGTTCCTTAGGGGTATCAACACAGTTTCTTGGAGGCGGTATGGTGACATCCAACACCGCTCCTTGGGGACATCCAACAACACCATTCCTTGGGGACGGTTTGGTGACACCCAAGGCTGTTCCTTGGGGACGGTTTATGTGACATCCAACACTGTTCTTTGGGGACATCCAACACCGTTCCTTGGGGACAATATGGTGACATCCAACACTGTTAATTGAGGACATCCAACACCGTTTCTCGGAGACATCCAACACCGTTCCTTGGTGACAGCACAGTGACATCCAACACCGTTTCTTGGAGACATCCAACAACACCGTTCCTTGGGGACATCCAACAACACCGTTCCTTGGAGACAGCACAGTGACATCCAACACCATTTCTTGGAGACATCCAACACCGTTCCTTGGAGACATCCAACAACACTGTTCCTTGGTGACAGCACAGTGACATCCAACACCGTTCCTTGGAGACATCCAACACCGTTCCTTGGGGACATCCAACAACACTGTTCCTTGGTGACAGCACAGTGACATCCAACACCGTTTCTTGGAGACATCCAACAACACCGTTCCTTGGAGACAACCAACACCATTTCTTGGGGACATACGACGACAACCAACACAGCTTCTTGCGAACAACGCGGTGACAGCCACCACCACCACAGGCACAGCACGGTGACACCCACCACCATCCCTCGGGCCGGGTGTCACCACGCTGTCCCCCACCTCCCCGTGCTCCGGGGGTCCCGGGTGCTGTGGTCCCTCAGGTGGGGGTGAGAGGGATCCCAAACAGCTCCCGTTGTCCCCCGCTGTCCCCCCGGTGTAGGCGGGAGGCCTCAGAGGAACCCTCGGCGTCGCGCACGTTGTACTCTCCCTTCTTACAGGCGGTGCTTTTCATGTAATAAATGCCCCACGCGGCCGCTGCCAGCACGGTGACGGAACCCAGCAGGGACAGGGACAGCAGCAGGGACAGCCGGCTCTCTGCGGGGACAACGGGACGGCGGCGTGGCACCGGTGGCACCAACACCCTGCCAACAGCACCCGTGTGACACCCCGACTGCGGCACCTTCATGGTGATGGCACAATGGGGAGACTGCGCTGGTGAACTTGACACCAACACAGTGACACAGTGACACCTCTCTAGTGACACCACCAAGAACACCCCAATGGTGACACTGACAATGGCATCTCAGTGGTGACACCGACACCCTACTGGTGACACCACCAACGACACCCCAGTGGTGACACCACAAACGATACTCCTCTGGTGACACCGACACCAACGACATCCCAATGGTAACACCGACAATGACACCCCAATGGTGACACCAACACCCCAGTAGTGACACTGACACTCTACTAGTGACACCACCAATTACACCCCACTGGTGACACCAACACCCCACTGGTGACACCACCAAGGACATCCCAATGGTGACACCAACACCCCAATGGTGACACCAACAATGACACCCCGCTGGTGACACCAACACCCTATTGGTGACACCGACACCCTACTAGTGACACCACCAATGACACCCCAGTGGTGACACTGACAATGGCATCTCAGTGGTGACACCGACACCCCAGTGGTGACACCGACACCCCAGTACTGATACCACCAACAACACCCCAATGGTGACACCACCAAGGACACCCCAATGGTGACACCAACACCCTACTAGTGACACCACCACGGACACCAAAATGGTGACACCAACACCCCAGTAGTGACACCGACACCCCAGTAGTGACACCACCAACAACACCCCACTGATGACACCGACACCCCACTGGTGACACCAACACCCTACTGGTGACACCGACACCCCAGTGGTGACACCAACACCCCAGTACTGATACCACCAACAACACCCCAATGGTGACACCAACACCCTACTAGTGACACCACCACTGACACCAAAATGGTGACACCAACACCCCACTGGTGACACCGACACCCTACTAGTGACATCACCACCCACACCCCACTGGTGACACCAACACCCCAGTAGTGACACCGACACCCAAGTAGTGACACCACCAACGACACCCCACTGATGACACCGACACCCCACTGGTGACACCAACACCCTACTGGTGACACCACTACCCAATGGTGACTCCACCAACGACACCAAAATGGTGACACCAACACCCCACTGGTGACACTAACACCTTACTACTGACACCACCACCCACACCCCACTGATGACACCAACACCCCAGAAGTGACACCAACACCCTACCGGTGACACCAACACCCCAGAAGTGACACCACCACCCACACCCCACTGATGACACCAACACCCTACCAGTGACACCAACACCCTACCGGTGACACCGACACCCTACTGATGACACCAACACCCCACTGATGACACCAACACCCTACCGGTGACACCACCACCCACACCCCACTGGTGGCACCAACACCCTACCAGTGACAACAACACCCTACCGGTGACACCGACACCCTACTGATGACATCAACACCCCACTGATGACACCAACACCCTACCGGTGACACCAACACCCTACTAGTGACACCACCAACAACACCCCACTGATGACACCAACACCCCAGTAGAGACACCGACAATGACACCCCACTGATGACACCTACACCCTACCAGTGACACCAACACCCCACTGATGACACCAACACCCTACCGGTGACACCGACACCCTACTAGTGACACCGACACCCAATGGCGACTCCACCAACGACACCAAAATGGTGACACCAACACCCCACTGATGACACCAACACCGTACCGGTGACACCAACACCCTACTATTGACACCACCACCCACACCCCACTGGTGACACCACCCCCCCGTCCCCCCCCCCCCCCCAAAAGCTCACCATCCACGCTCACCACCACGCTGCCCACGCGCCGGCCGTGCCGGTTGACGGCCACGCAGGTGTAGCGCCCGCGGTTGACGGCCGCCGCGTTCTCCACCTCCACCGACCGGTTGTCGGCCCCGAAGCGCAGGTTGGGGGCAGGGGGCAGCGCCCACCCAAAGGTGGGGGTCGGGACCCCCTCGGCTCCGCACTCCACGCTGAAGCTCCCCCCGTGGCTCACGTTGGGGGACGGCAGCACGCGGAGGGTGAGGGCAGCGGGGCTGTCTGCGCGGGGGGGGAAACCCCAAAAGGGGCCTTTTTTACCCCAAAACGTCCCAGTGCTTTCGCTTCTTGTCCCTTCCAGCCTCAAAGCGTCCCCCACAAAAAACGGTCGTTTTGGGGGACCCCAAACCCAGCGGTTTCCCAATTTGCTGGTCCTCCCCAAACCCCAAATCGCCCATTTTTAACCCCAAAAAACGGTTGTTTTGGGGGACGCCAAACCCAGCGGTTTCCCAATTTGCTGGTCCTCCAAAAACCCCAAATCGCCTGTTTTTAACCCCAAAATCGCCCGTTTTTAACCCTAAAATCGACCATTTTTGACCCCCAAAACCCCCAAACCAACCATTTTTAACCCCCCAAAACGGTCATTTTGGAGGACCCCAAACCCAGAGGTTTCCCCCTTTGCTGGTCCTCCAAAAACCCCAAATCGCCCATTTTTAACCCCAAAATCAGCCGTTTTTAACCCTAAAATCGACCATTTTTAACCCCCAAAAACGGACATTTTGGGGGACCCCAAACCCCCATCTTTACCCCCAACCCCTCATTTCACCCTCA